CCCGGGGCGCATCCCGGGCCCTCCCCCACCGAAAACCAACAAGTCCTGCCCGCCGGGGCGCATCCCGGGCCCTCCCCCACCGAAAACCAACAAGCCCCGCCCACCGTGGCGCATCCTCCCAGTGATGTTGCAGAACTCCCTGAACATCCTCCCCTTCCTCCGTACACTCCTGCCTCGTCTCCACCCCAATACCCAATACCCTTCCTCGCTCCTTCCCTCTTCACTCCTAGCTCACCAACACTTTCTCCCTCCTCCACCTTATGACGCCCCCGACTCGGAAACATCGCCTCCACACCAAGTGCGCATGCACTTCCACCAGGCTCCTCCTGAGCGTCCAGCCTCGGTTCGCCCGTAGATGGGCCCGGGGTTCCTTCATCCTCCATCTGATGAAGAAGGCACCACCGCCATTTCCCGTGGGGCGGCCTATATATGGATACAGACGGATGATATTCTCAGGGGAGATAACCAATATGTATATAATATACAGTGTTCAAATAGGCAGAGACATTAAAGAATGTTTGAATCTTAGAGATTATACATGATAGATAATAGTTAAACTTTTTTATTGTTGCCGCTGACATATATTATGTACGTAATTTGCCGCATACATATATTCTGTACGTAGGATGACGTTATCATACATGTATTTAGCTTCGTTAGATCTTAAGTTGTAGAAGACAATACAAAAGTCCCTGTACTTTGGTTGAGTCAATAAAGAATCTCTAGATCTGATATAGACTTCTCTTGCCCCACATAATCTGCTTGGAAATTAATATGTCTGACATTGGCTTCATCCCGATATTCGCTTGGCATGCGTTATCAATAGCCTCCATCAGGCCTTTCTACGCCCCACGGCAATCCAATTAAAAATCCAGACGTCTTTTAGTATTTCCATCTTGTTGACTTGTTAAACTTTTTCCTTTGAGAACCACGTACGAGGTCGAAACTAAAAAAAAAACACAAGACATTGAAAACAATATACATGCCCATTTATGCTGAAAAATGTGTTGTAGATGTGCACACTGATTTTGTTAAGAAGAGGAGGCAAATTGTCTCGGTGAAACATGACTGAACAGTGCACTAGAGTCTCCCCTCAAACTACATGTAAACAAATGCGTCACGTTCTAAAGTTGTTTCCTTGTTGCCTCAAAATCAGGCTTCACGGTGGGCGTCTTGATATTACCATCTTTACAAGTAACATGTGCATGTTGTTTCCAGATAGGCTAGCGTACGTACCGAAGTTCAACGTTGTTAAATGAGGCGCACAAAAACACAGTAGCGACCATTCAGTGCTCGTAATCAGCAAACTTGAAACACCAAGAGCCTGCTATGGAGGCTGGCTTTCTTTAGACAGAGATCGTGACGCCTCACGGCAATCCAATTAAAAATCCAGACGTCTTTTAATATCTCCATTTTGTTGACTTGTTAAACTTCTTCCCTTGAGAACCACGTACGAGGTCGGAACTAAAAAAAACATAAAAAATATGCATGCCCATTTATGCTGAAAAATGTGTTGTAGATGTGCACACTGATAATAAAATACGGGTGAATGAAGTTGTAATGATAGAGGGCAAAATCCCCGTGTCGCTGCAGGCTAGGCACAACGGCGGGCCGACCGACACTGGTTAGACTGGTATGTTGACCTTTCGGCAGGTACAGATTTAGACGTGCGTGTGGCTGGATTGGAACATTGGTTTACAAATATCAGCTCTAACAGCAGCAAGACGTAGAGTTAGAAGCCGAGAACACAACAGACGACAGCATGTTGGCCGGACTGCTGACCCTGATGTTCCTTCTGATGGGAACGGCTGGACAAACACCACGTGAGTTACATTTTTCACAGTCACGAATCTCAGCGGCAAAATAAGGTTACTCGATGACCTTGCTGTCTGCACCATATCTTTTCGCAACATTCTGTACATCTCCCTTAATTCTCCTTGAAGCTCAATTTTGTCTAAGATTCGTCATTTAGAACTGCTGAAGATTTTATTGAAAAGAATATCACATCGAACGGGGTTCTTTCGGGAAACTGACCGTCTGTCAAGGAAAGAAATGCATGAATGTCAGGAGGAGTGGCACCTTATTTTTTATGCTAGACAAACGAGATCGGCAAAGAACCCTATTATTGCAGCTTGCTGTTTTTTGGGTCTTCTATGCAGTATGAGATAAAACTATGCTCACTGTCATGTGAAGATAGGGGAGGGGGATCCAAAGTTTCTTGTATGGACGGCAGCGTTTGTCTGGGAAATGCCACGTTGCAAAGTTACTTCAATTACAGGGTTACAGTGAACAAACACGTGGCGGTGGTACACCTGAAAACTTTATTTTTCCTCGCATTGCCTTTCAAACTGAACAAGAATTCCGAGACTTCATACCTCCATGAAATATGAGCTTGACATGTAAATGTAAATTTCCTCTTTAATTATGCAAATTACCTCCGCATTAACATGATATATGCATCGTGATGTATGTTAACTTTTGATTAACTTACAGATGTCCAAAGTATGACATTCCCATTATTCACCATTAAGAAATCATAGAATTTTTGCATAAATTATGCAAATTAGGTCATCATTTGCATAATTAGTATCTGTTGATGTTCTGCCTGCCATAGGTTACATACATTACATGTATGAAAGTAGTATAATGTAAAACACTGTAATCATAGAATTTCCTCATTAATTATGCAAATAAAGTCCTCATTTGCATAATTTGCATTTAATCATGTACATCTCTTTCTTAGCTACCTACACACCAAAAATTATGAAAATATGTTGTTCCTATCTGGACTTATTGGCTTTTAAACATTTCGCCAGAAAGTGCCCTGCAGTTCCAAAACAAGCTGCTAGGGGGACCAAACCCACACCACTTATTCCTGACAAGAAAAGCTATCTGTCACCAAAAATTCAAGACCATAGCATGTTCAGGACCAAAGATACAAAAACCGGAAGTTCTGCTGCAGTACCAAGGTCATCCACCAGGAGGCCCATATTTGACCTTGACCTTTGTCTTCCTAAGACTTATCAGCATACCAAATATCATCACAATCCATAAAGGCGTTTTGAAGTCATGCTGACTACAAAGTTGAGGAAACACACACAGACACACAGACACACACACACAGACACACAGACAGACGCCGCCAAAAACAATACCTCCATTTTTCATGGAGGTAATTAATAAAATGAATGAAAACATTTGTGTACGTATGCGAAAAATGTATGAAAACTACATGCAATCTACTTCTCAGCATCTAACGCTACAATGGCCAACAACGCTACAATGGCCAACAACGCTACAATGGCCAACAACGCTACAATGGCCAACAACGCTACAATGGCCAACAACGCTACAATGGCCAACAACGCTAAAATGGCCAACAACGCTACATATACAATGGCCAACAACTCCATGATCAACGCCACCACCCCCACCGTGATGCCAAGTTAGTTTATTTTAGATATCTATTTCGGGAATACATTCACACTATTGGTATAAAATGATTACACAAAATGTATTCCTTTCCTGTACTAAGATTACTGAAACGAAATGAGGACGGCACAACTTTTCAAAATGAGGCAAAAGACCACCATTCATACTGTGCATTTGAATGACATCTTTATCAATAGGGTGCAATAAAAACGTGTGTGTTTGAAAACGGCTGATGTTATATCTTTACGTCATATTCACACAGATGATCCAATTCCTCCTGTTCCTCTCGGCTACATCATCGGCAGCCTGGTTGCCCTGGTCGTACTGGTGGGCGTTATCATCTTCTGCTGCAACTTTGAATGTTCTTTCTCTTTGTGTTAGGATTTGGGGAACTTACGATTACAATTACGGTTAACGATCTTACTGTACCTTAGACTCTCACTCTGAGGAACTAGTTAACTTAGACTCTCACTCTAAGAAACTAGTTAACTTAGACTCTCACTCTAAGTAACGCCAAAGCCAGGTCGATTTATATTTGATGTGACTTGAATATTGATTTTACATGTGATAGTAGTATACTGTATTTTGTAATACAATGTATCATAATTGACGTAAACAAGTTTAATTTTTAATATATAATTTCAAGCAAATGTAATATGCTCACTTATTTTATGCATTCTTATATTGTGCTTCGCTACATGTGTTGCCAGGATGTCATACATTGTATGATGTACATTGCTGGAATGAGAATTGTACATATTCAAAATTTGAGCCTGTCAATACCATTCAATGAATATGACGATGCATGTTGGTTATGTTACAGAAGACATGTTACTGAAGCTGTGTACAGAACCTAACATTCATATAAAACGTATTTTTCTTCAGTAATGGCTGACTGACGTTTCTTCTTTCGTGTGAGAGATGCATACAGTAGGGGCATCTTTGGTAGCTTTGTTGTCACATGCGCGATATTGTATGTTACAAGTTGTTCATTATATTTTTGATGTTGAATGCTATACTGTATTGTGTTTAGAACAGGAGGCAAATTGCCTCGATGAAATATGACTGAACAGTGCACTAGAGTCTCCCCTCAAACTACATGTAAACAAATCGGCGTCACGTTCTAAAATTGTTTCCTTGTTGCCTCCAAATCAGGCTTCTCGGTGGCATGGGCGTCTTGATATTACTTGTACCATCTTTACAACTAACATCTGCATGTTGTTTCCAGATAGGCTACCGTACGTACCGAAGTTCAACGTTGATAAATGAGGCGCACAAAAACACAGTAGCGACCATTTTGTGCTCGTAATCAGCAAAAATGAAACACCAAGAGCCTGCTATGGAGGCTAGCTTTCTTTAGACAGAGATCGTGACGCCTCACGGCAATCCAATTAAAAATCCAGACGTCTTCGGAACTAAAGAAAAAACACCAAGACATTGACTAAATATGCATGCCCATTAATGCTGAAAAATGTATTGTAGATGTGCACACTGATAATAAAATACGGGTGAATGAAGTTGTAATGATAGAGGGCAAAATCCCCGTGTCGCTGCAGGCACAACGGCGGGCCGACCGACACTGGTTAGACTGGTGTGTTGACCTTTCGGCAGGTACAGATTTAGACGTGCGCGTGGCTGGATTGGAACATTGGTTTACAAATATCAGCTCTAACAGCAGCAAGACGTAGAGTTTAGAAGCCGAGAACACGACGACAGAATGTTGGCCGGACTGCTGACCCTGATGTTCCTTCTGATGGGAACGGCTGGACAAACACCACGTGAGTGACATTTTCCACAGTCACGAATCTCACCGGCAAAATAAGGTTACTCGATGACCTTGCTGTATGCACCATATCTTTTCGCAACATTCTGTACATCTCTCCTAATTCTCCTTGAAGCTCAATTTTGTCTAAGATTCGGCATTTAGAACTGCTGAAGGTTTTGTTGAAAAGAATTTAAGAATATCACATCAAACGAGGTTCTTTCGGGCAACTGACTGTCAAGGACAGAAATACATGTATGTCAGTGGGAGTGGCACCTTATTTTTTATGCTAGACAAACGAGATCGGCAAAGAACCCTACTTTTGCAGCTTGCTGTTTTTGGGTCTTCTATGCAGTATGAGATAAAGCTATGCTCACTGCCATGTGAAGATAGGGGAGGGCTAACGTTTCTTGTATAGACGGTAGCGTTTGTCTGGGAAATGCCACGTTGCAAAGTTACTTCAATTACAGGGTTACATTGAACAAACACGTGGCGGTGGTACACCTGAAAACTTTTCCTCGCATTACCTTTCAAATTGAATGAATAAAATGAATGAAAACATTTGTGTACCTATACGAAAAATGTATGAAAACTACATGCAATTTACTTCTCAGCATCTAACGCTACAATGGCCAACAACGCTACAATGGCCAACAACGCTACAATGGCCAACAATGCTACAATGACCAACAACGATACAATGGACAACAACGCCATGATGTCAACCACCGAGGCGATAAGTTAGTGTCTTTTAAGACATCAAGTTATTTCAGGAATACACTCAGACTATCTGTATAGAATGATCACACAAACCTTTCCTATGCTAAGAATGCTGAAGGAAGTCGGCACAACTTTTTTACGTGAGGTACATGTATCAAAAGCAAAAGTTCATAGGTGAAGATGTCACTGTGTGATTGAATAGCATCTTTAGCCCTACAGTGTACCCAGGCTAGTACTGTATATTATACAAGCACGAAAATTGTGTACCATGTTCAATAGTCGTTGCCATATGTTGTACCATGTGCAATTGTTGTAGAATAAAGTTCTTCGTCATTTAAGATGCAAAGAAAAACGGCTGATGTTATATATCTTTATGTCATATTCCCATACAGTCCCTCCAATTCCTCCTGTTCCTCCCGGCCACATCATCGGCGGCCTGGCTGCCCTGGCCGAGCTGGTGGGCGCTATCTGCTTCTGCGCCGTGGCGTGTCGCAAAAACACCGAGGCCAGCTTCTCCAAGCTAGACCCTGCTGACGACACGATCCCCGGTAGCCCGGCAGCCAAGGAGACGGGAAACACCAGCGCACCGACCGCAGGCCGTCGCGTCCGACACGTCTACAACCCGTCATTCTTCCACCGAGGGTCTTACTCTCCTCCTCGACCCATGGAGGCCGGCTACCCCGGCATACAAAACACCGCCTTTACTCAGTAGTGGATGCTATACTATTTCAAAACCCTTCAAAACCCTTTGGCACCGGTAACGGGTTGTCTTAAGGTTCACTTTAGTCTATATAAGGCCCACTTTAGACCCTTAGAGAAGTGGTAGAAGTTGGACATTGTAACGTCAAGCTTTGCGGTGCCTCTTCTGAACAATTATTCACCTTGACATAAAACATACTACATATATATATATATATATCTTTATCTGAACCATCTTGTAGAATGGAGTGAAAAATCAATTACTTTCAATAGTAAGTAAGTATCTCAGCAAATTACTTCATTGCAATACATTGTTTGTATTGTATGTTATGTTCATCATCATCATTATGTTTATTTCTATTGGACCAAAAGCGTCAGTACTAACTCTGGAGATGCTACGGCATTGTAGTTTCATAGTTTCACACTCATCATAATCACTTTATATAATACTTGATCAATACTACAATATATACATATGTAGCAACATGTAAATCTATAGTCTTTTAATTCTATCACCGCAAATACAAGTGGTCATAAAGATGCAGTTTTATTGTTTTCTTGAATTTGATGTCCACATTGACAACCTATATAAATGCAACATTCCATCGCTGGCTGTCGCATGCTGTTGCATCTCTTCTCCAATCCGCCAGAGGGCTACGATTGTTGCTGAAACATTGAGCTTTCCCCTTTGACCTTTTCCGGAAGTGAGTGACAGTCTCGTGAGTCGGCGCGTCCTGTCGGTGGAATGCAAGATTTAAACATCACTGACTTGCTCTTGTGCTACGAAAAGATGGGAAAAACTGTGATGTAGGCGTTTGTTTGACAATCACCTGTTCGGGGAAACTCAGCCAAGCGAGCTTGCAGTATTCAGGTATAATACTTTTAAGCTACTGCACCTCACATGTACTAGTATATCTCTAAGCTATTAAAGTCTTCCTATAAAAAATATCACTTGTAAGTTATATTTTAAGGAGGATCTTGGTTTTGAAACTGTTTCTATTAACCGTAATATCTCTTGCTCATCTAATGATTAACAGTATAAAGTTTATACATTATAATTCAGTGAAGGAGAAGGGGCGATCTAGAGTGTCAACTTTTCATGTTCCGCTTAAGTGTTACTGTGGATAAATCTTCATCAATATCAAACCTGTTTGTTTGTTTTTTTCAGGTACTGTACAGGGGTAAAAAACAGTCACTTAAAAATATGACCTCATCAAAGAAGGTTGTGCATTACGCTGCCATTTTTGTCCTCTATGTTGTCGAGGTTTGTACGAAAAGTGTGACCGTTCCCTTTGTGACACCGCCCCTCCCTTCCCGACCATTTCTCGCCGTGTGGAACGTCCCGTCGGAGAAATGTGGATCAGAATTTGGGGTGGACCTCAGCCTTGACTCCTACAACATCGTGTCCAACCCTGGCCAGGAGTGGAACGGCACCTACATGACCATCTTCTACTCACAACAAATGGGGCTTTATCCTTACTACAACGACAACAACCTTCCCATCAATGGAGGAATACCACAGGTAATTCTGCTGATGCAATTTACAATACCTCAATACCTCTAAGTAGACTTAATGACCAAAATTAGGCAAATAAGCCTCACAACTGAACCTATAATTAGCTGCCGAGTCTCTCTGCAAATAGACAAAAGAGACTTGGCAGCTAAAATATGTTTAATTTCAGTTATCAGGCAAAGTTCAGGTCATAAAACTGAAGCACATGTTCTTAGAAAAAAGACGACTTATCACTTAGAGCTTTACAGATGCTGTTATCTTGAACAACTTGTCTTTTGAAACTTCTATTTCTTCTGAAACAACCATTGAGAATTTAACTTGTTACTTTTGTTGCACTAGATATATCTGTACACATATTTAGGTTTATTTGATCCTCAGTCATACGATATAACTTGACACTTGTCACTCCTTTGCCACCACTCCCTGGATGTTCATGAAAGCATAACAGCAATTTTGAGACCGTGTCAGGTTTCAGGTCCTTAACCCTAACAGTTTGCCTTTCCTATGGGCAGACCTAGAAGCACATTGACTCTGTTGACAGGTTGTGAATATGACCGCCCATCTGGCCAAGGCAGCTGAGGACATCAGGACTCTGATTGCTGACCCTGAGTATCGAGGGCTGGCCGTTATTGACTGGGAGGGATGGAAACTTGTCTGGAACAGAAACTGGGATACCAAGGTAATATTGAAAACAATTGATAACAGGATTTGTTGATGCTGCTTTGGACAACTTCTGCATGCAATTGCCAATCATAACAGTGCATTCTATGGCAGTTCTGTTGAGAAAAGCTAGGGGGCAGTGTTGACTCATTGCACCTCCCCACAAACATTGTACCTCCTAAATGTAAATGTGTTATCAAGGCACAGGGAGCTATATGGTGTTATCAAAGGTATCAAAGATTTTTTCTCAGAAAACCTTGTATCTTGTACTTTCAGGCAATCTACAAGAATGCGTCCCGAGCGCTGGTAGAAAAACAACATCCTGATTGGCCAAAGGAAAAGATTGAGGCTGCTGCTAAAGAAGAGTTTGAAACCGCAGGCCGGACCATGTTCACTCAGACCGTTCTCCTGGCACAAAAGCTACGTCCAAATGCCCGCTGGGGGTACTACCTCTTCCCTGACTGCTATAATTATAAGAAAAATATGTACAATGAAACAGCAGAATATAGCTGTCCACAAATAGAGCTAGAACGGAACAACCAGATACAGTGGCTGTTCCAAGATAGCACAGCCTTGTATCCATCTATCTACCTCAGCAGTCGATTTGAGCAAACTGAAGATTCGCGATGGTTTGTACACTTCCGCATGAAGGAAGCATTCCGTATGAGAGCATCACGGACTGGGCCAAATATTCCTGTGTATGCATACATCAGGTTTGTGTATGAAGATACCGGGGAATACCTGACAAAGGTATGTGTATAAGTAACCTGTCTTCATGACATCTTGAATTTCTAAGTGCTTCCTTGAGTGATTTCAGTGCTACATGTACTAATTATTCAGTCTTGAGCTGCTATTAAACTTGGCAAAACTTTGGTAGTGAAACCTATGTTTAAGATGACATCTGCAATATCTCTTTAATGAAGCATCTCTGACCGTTCATATTTCAGTGGGACATGGTCCACACAATGGGCCAGGCTGCAGACATGGGGGCTGATGGGATAGTGATCTGGGGAACCTACCTAGATGGAGGATCAAAGGTACAATATATAACCATTTCAATTACCAAAACTGAAAGGTATAAAGCCAAATGATAAGGTAAACTGTTGTGCCAGAAACTGCTGGGCGATTACAAAATGTTTTTTCATTTTCATTGGAGTTTTTGAAGTTATTTATGTGTCTGTGTTCTATCTCTTTGTTGTTACTTTTGTGAACACCCCCTCTATTCTTGCTTTTTGATATTTCTCTATTTTGTCGTATTAGAAACTTTTTATTGTTTGTGTTGGATATTCTCACAGGATGCTTGCTTTTTATATTCTTATCACATGAGTCAAACCTTAGAGAAATAAGTACTAGTATTTACTGACCATTTGTACTGTTACTGATATTCTAGGAGGCATGTCTGAAACTGCAAAGCTACCTCCAGACCACGCTCGGTCCCTACATCCTCAATGTCACAACTGCAGCTGAGAGGTGCAGCCAACAACACTGCAGTAACCATGGAAGGTGTGTCCTAGCAACAGGGAGCCATGGCAACCACGACATCATCAACAATGTCATGGAGACAAAGGAAAATTTTATCAAATATACCATTGATAGTTCTTCAATTGGAAAATCGATGAGAAAAGATGACTTGGGAAAATCTGACAGTGATGTGAACAATGTTATGTCTGCAGGTTTTTATCATGAGATTCCCACATGTCAATGTTACCTCGGCTGGACCGGGGAAACTTGCAATCACAAAGTTTGAACTAATTAAACACATAGACTTTTATTGTTACACATAGACTATAAGTGTGAATGCTGAATTCTGTGTGTTCGAAAGTACAGACACCAGGCCAGTACCATAGCCATTTAGTATCTCTAAAAAAAGTTCTCAACAATTTCTATTAAAATTTTTTTATACATGTCAAGGTTTATGGGACCATTAATGCTTTGTGCTACTTTATGTAAAATATATGTAATTCTAAGTTAAGCGTCATTGTTTCGCTCATGTTGTCCATAGATAATTGATTTTACCATCATCAAATCGTTTTATTTTTGTATCTTTATACCACCACAACCGTTTTAGTAAACAAGAGAATTTATCTTTGTCTCATTGCCAACCAGTGTTCCTTTTTTTCTGTGTTTGCTGTGTTTCTCTGTCATGTAGCGGTAGACCTGGCACTGGAGGGCCTCCAACCAATGTTGCCCCTCAGCTCAGTCCCTGCTCGTGGACGTTTTTACTTCTGAATCAGCTTGTCATACTCATGAGACTTCTGTGAAGATGCTCTGCCGTTGGAGAATTAGCATCTGAGACCTCATACAGCACTGCCGTTTGTATCTTAGATGCATGTAATAAACTGTGCAATAAGCTTTGAAAATTTGTTTTCGTGACACCAACAGAAGGTTGAAAACCATTGATTTACTTAGTATTGTCCCCATCTCCATGCATGTTTGCTTAGTTTTGACTAGTTGAATGTATAGGGTGTGAGCAATAATTGATTATTTCAATAATCGTTTTAAATAGATGTTTAGCGTTAGAATTCATCCAGAGTATCAAATAAAGGAGTGAAGATGTACTAGATGGCTGGAAGATGAAACATATACATGTATGAGAGTCTGAATGCCCTTTTCCATGAAGAGAATTGTTTTGATTTACTGTACTTAGCCAGCTGCTTGAGTTCAAACTCTTCACAAAGCGTAATTGGTCACTTTAATTCAATGTTGCGCGTTATTTGTTCATTTTTCATATTAATTTAATTTCATCATTTCATTTTATTCTATTTCACGAGTAGATCACACCCACAGGCCTGTGACAGGTTGTTCAGGTCCCCCCAGTTTACCGTGTATTGTTTTTGAGGAGGGCATTCCGCACACATTCCCAGTGAGATACGGACTGTTTGACCTAGTCAATTTAAAAAAACCATGAAAAGTTCATGACACCTGTTACCGGGCATTGTACAAATGTGCTTGACATTGCGGCTTGATTAATTAATCGATTAAGGGGATCAGCGACTACTGCCCTGTCCATTCCTGCAGTTCTCTGCGTAATTATAACCAACGTTGTGGCATTTGTGGCATCTTAATGAACGATCTTTTTCTGTGTACCTGCTATTTAGCCGGTTCTCGCCACAATAGTGATTTCCGTACCCGGCTATAGCACTTACATGGTTACCAAACCTACTTTAGCTTCCGAATCTTCTTGTCCTCTTTTTTTATTTGCGGAGAGGGTAAAAGAGACTCGGCAGCTAAAAATAGGTCAAATAGGTTTGGTTACCACGGACTACGGAAACCACGTGAACCTTGTAGAACAACTTTCTTGGGGACCACCTGTCCAACATGGCGTCACCTAAAGAGGGGATCTACATGTACGTTATTATCTTCGCCGTCCAACTGATAGTGGTCTCGACGAAGAACGCCGACCGTCCCTTCGGCGGACCTCCCCTGCCCTCCCGACCGTTTCTCGCCGTGTGGAACGTGCCCTCGTCCCGGTGCGAAGTAGAATTCGGGGTGGACCTCAGTCTTAACTCGTACAACATCGTGGCCGACCCTGGCCAGAAACGGAACGGCACCTACATGACCATCCTCTATTGGAACAAATTCGGGCTTTGGCCTTACTACGACGACAAAAACACACCTGTCAATGGAGGAATACCACAGGTAAAATGATAACTTGTACTAGATTAAAGTTGTATCCATACAATTTAGACGATCTGTACTTGGATTAATAGGACACGAATACTCCTTGTTTTAGCTCTTATTTATTATTTCACATTTACTTAATAGGATCGCATTAAGGCAATGTAAGCACTAGGCAGCTGGCAGCTGATAACATGACCACACATATTTCATACATGTAAACCATAGTGAACACAACACAAATACAATCAAGTAAGGAAACATAGCAACAGATATATAGAATACAAAATAGCAGTTGAAATAAAAAAAATACATGTATTATTTCATAATTATAGCTTGCGAACATCACGGCTCATCTTACCAAAGCTGCTGAGGACATCGAGGCAGGAATCCCGGATCCAGACTTCCAGGGGCTGGGCGTGATCGACTGGGAGAAGTGGAAGCCCCTCTGGCACAGGAACTGGGGCTACCAGGTATACCTGGTTCAACACCTATTTTTGCTGCCGAGTCCCTTTTATCCTCACCGCAGGTTTGGTATTAAAATAAACCTAACCCATAGATTGCCCATATATATATCCTCCATAGTCAACGTTAACGCCGGCGGCATCACTATTGTCGCTGAGAATAGGTAATCGGGCTATATATGATACATTTTATCATATACTAGTATGTGCGTCCCACTACGTTATACTGCAGTTTTGTTTAAGGTCGTTAGAAAGCAGTTTTGTGTTGCCACTGATTCAAACACTTGCACAAGAACGTACCTAACACACGTATGTAACGTTATATTGCACTGCCATGAGAAACTTTGTAAGTGCATGGTATGCTCATGTTTACAGTGTAGTCTACACAAATGTATAACTGTGTTAATCTGAACTCACAGTTCAATTGTTTTAATTTTAATCTGATCAATTTTCTATAATAATCCCATCGGCACGAGTGTGTAAGAGAAGGTCTCCTTGTATCATGACCAGTTAGTTCACTTCTCTTTCAGATAATCTACAAGAATGCATCTCGTGACTTGGTGGAAAACCGGCATCCTGACTGGCCTAAAGAAAAAATCGAGGCTGTCGCAATGGAAGAATTTGAGACGGCAGCCCGGACCATGTTCGAGGAAACCATCCTTCTGGCACGGAAGCTGCGTCCCAAAGGATTCTGGGGATATTATCACTTTCCCGCCTGCTACAACAATAAGAAGAGGAAAACAGGATACAGCTGCCCGGAAAAGGAGACGAAATTGAACAACCAGATCCAGTGGCTGTTCCAAGATAGCACAGCGATATATCCATCTATCTACCTCAAGAGTCGTTTTGAAGACTCTCAGAAGTTGGTGTACTTCCGCATGAAGGAAGCATTCCGTATGAGAGCATCACGGACTGAGCAACACATTCCTGTTTATGCATACACCAGATTTGTTTATGTAGATAGTGGAGAATACCTAACAAAGGTGGGCGTATTTTCTTGTTAACCCCCCCCCCCCACTCGTAGCCCTCCGGGAATCTTCCCCACCCCCACTCGTAGCCCTCCTGAAATCGTTGTTCAAATTGCATGCAAAACATTTCCCAACATGTAATTATGTATATGGCATGATTTGTTTAGGTCCGGACTTATAAGTGTGTATTTGCAGAAAGTATTTGCAAATTACAGAACAAACTTTTGACACTCTGCAATATTGTAGAACACTCAAAAAAGTATTTTTTTACCAATGGAGAGTTAAGAATCGTTTTCGTTAAGCGATTACATGCTGCGATGTAGTTGTGGCTACAAGAACGTGTTCGAGCAAGGAAGAAGAAACAGCACTCAGACAGCTCCTTGTCTCCCACCCTACTAGCGCTAAGCTTCCGTTTTATATTCTTCATTCTTCCCCACCCAGACGGATTTGATCCACACGATTGGCCAGACAGCTAACCTGGGTGCTGATGGGATAGTCATATGGGGAAGCGACCTGGATACTAAAACAAAGGTTAGTGTTTGCGTCAGTATAAACAGTATGGAAGTCTCATGTCACTGGAATGATTATTAGGATGCTTCATTCACTCGATTCAAATTACCTTGCTTGTATACGTGTACAGTACTAAGGCAAGAGGTGTTTTATGTCCGGTGCTGCAGTTTGACCTTTTTTCTTATAGTCACCATTAAAGTTTATATTCAAGTTTTCAATAAGACAAATAGCTGTATAGCAAATGTTATTCGAAATATTATAGTGACATAATATTTCGCAATATTTCTCAATGGCTGATGTGTATCTTGTGAATTTGACATTTAAAAAAGACCAGTTTACTGAGCATTGCTACTGGAACTGTTGCAGGAAAAATGTCTGAAACTCCAAAGCTACCTCCAGACCACGCTCGGTCCTTTCATCTTCAACATCACAACTGCAGCTGAGAGATGTAGCCAACAACACTGCAGTAGCCACGGAAGGTGTGTCCTAGCAACGGGGACGCGTAGCCATGGCAACCGTTTATTCTTTGATCAACGCAGTGAGGTGATCAAAGGAAACGAATTAGTGGAAGATATTTTCGGAGTTTCTTACTGGAAGACGACTGTAGAAGGCCACACTGGAAAGAACGCAAATCACTTAGCTTGGAGAATAAACAAGCACGTCGGCTTTCCTACCTGTAAATGTTACCCAGGGTGGACTGGAGAGAGTTGTCAGGACAAAATGTGAAGTTGGAAACATCGCGCAGTTTGGGATGTATGGCACGAAGCTTGCTAATTTATCTCAGGAAAGAAAGAAATGATTGTTTTGTCTTTTGATCGGATCAACGAGATCATAATATTGCAGATAGAATCGAATGCAAAAATTGAAATAAAACTGGTTCATGATTATCGATATCATTTTGTTTGTTCGATTTTCTCTTGCATGCTATCACAGTGGGAGAAACAAGATCGCTAGACTGGAACGGCGTATTTGAGGCTTGAAGTGACAAAAGCTTTGCCAAGCTTCTGTCCCTTTAAGTCTGTATTGGACCGACGCCCCAAGAGATTTGGATCCAAGGGCATGTTCACACGAATGTTTAATTTCATGCTTATTGACTGCTATAGATACGCTGTCTAGCGGTTTTGATTGGTACTGCAGGCAGGTGCACTCCTGCTGTATCCGTCAATCACTCAGCGCCTGTTATTTTAGCACCTCCGGGGGCATGTGTGGCCCGTGACCCGTGGCAGGATCAGAGGGCGAGTGTATACAACGCGGGGCGCATTGCTCGCATGTTTGGGTTCAATAGGCGGCGTGTAGAGTTCCTGGCATTCCCACGTTTATAGAGTTTTTGTTACTGAGAACTGTGGACAGCTCCGGGAGATGCGCCGGGAAAATTAGATGCAGGGAAAGGTAAGGGCTAGGAGATGTAATTAGCCCCGTAGGCGTCTGACTTGCTCGCCAGCGTCAATGGCTATAACCATAAACTTCTATTAAACCTCTATAGACAATAGTCAAGAATACCCAGACATGGAACTGAAAAACGATCATGCCTTGCTGACGCCAAAGGCACCGTGGCGAATCAATAGTTGACAACATTAACACCGGGGACCGTGCCAACGCTATCAGATGTGAAGCGTCGGAATGATTGGAGAGATCAACTAATATTGCGAATACCACACTTTAAAAGGGTGATCGACCCTTTCTAAGGGGGTTAATCGCGAGAGGTGTAGAGGGAGGGTAGGTTGGTGAGAGCTTTAAATTGAATGATGTAAATGATGCTCAACAAAATTATGCATTGTTTGCTGCAGTTGGGATGACCATACTGATACACCCTTTGTATGTTCTTTACATACCCTCTCCCGAACAAAAACGATCCTCCCCTCCCTGCGCTGTAACACTCACGAGTTGAATGACTCCTCCGTCAGTAATCAGTTTTACCGTTTGATGCATTGTGTTCATCTATCACACACTTCAGCTCTGTTTGCGTCGCAGGTATTAAGAGATTTGTCTCACCAAACGCTCGTCCCCAGAGCGTTGCCAACGGAGATAGCGACGACACGTTCCCAGGGTCATCTGATGACGTACGTGACGACTTCAAAAATGTCAACGTCAATGTTATCGGTGATCGCTTAAAGAAATTTCTTGAGACGATTTGGTCTTTGGCTGCAGAACGGAGTTTGAGATTGAAGTTAATGTTTCGTTCATGGCCCGCTCCAGGGGAGAATACGTCATAACCTGATAATGATAAAGCCGCCCCGTAAATGCGTTATGGTTATCATGATTGTGATTTAATGATAAAGTTGGTGGCAACGCTACCAGCTACGATGATAATGGCAGTAGTTATGATTGTTGCTAGTCGTGACCATATATTTGACTAATATTGTTGCTCTCTGTGATTGATTATCAGTGCCAATCATACTTTACTATCCATATTATAGTATTACTAGTATATGACCCGTATATTGTTCAGTAGACCAGTACACAGTCCGGCCCCAAGTCAAGGCTACCCGGCAACACCATCCTACAACCAGCCGTCTAGAGAAGGTTTGTACTTGCCGCGTTAAAATTCTACGAAACGCATATGAAAACTCTCACCCGTCCGGAGCCCTGCACAGGAGACTACACCCCACCTGCCAACAGACGGGTGGGTAGACGAAAGTATCAGGCTTTGTTAAGCCGCTGATCCCGTAACTAAATTGAGTTTAACTAAATGAAAGACGGGGAAAGACCAAGGATGATGGCGGATTATGTGGAATCGCAAAATATTACAACAGGAGTTTGGCTGAAAATCATAATGAGAAAAATTAAATTTCTGAAAATGGCAGAATAAAAGAAAAGGTCACCAGTGTATTTCAGCTTCTTTCCCTCCAAATAAGAACTATAAATGTAATGAAAAATGGCAGATTTCCATTTTCAGTCCTCCACAAAAGCACCATATTTGCCAGGCTGCGATATCTGCTCCCCGCTCTGATCTGATGCATTGTCACGGGCACACTTACCGCGCACCGTGCGTTTAACGCTTTATTGCGTTTATTGCAGATTGCAAATCTCCTTTGTACACTTGAACCACGTTATTGCGGCCTCGGCGGCGTATAGAGTAGCGCAGACTGATAAAAGCCTTCGATAACGTTCCTTACGATACGCCGAGATAGCAAGCTGTCTTTTATGTCTGCAAAATTTCTGAATTACAGGTCTATGAGAGACTAAGGAATAGCATATAATGATTACAGTATAAAGCAATACTGTTCCCTGTTGATAAAGCCTCTGAGAAAAATGCAGGCTGCAAAAACGTTTTATTAGCGTATTCTGTGATACAGTAAGATAGCAAGCTGTCTGGGTATTACGTTTATGACATGCTGGTATCAGTGATTAAGAAACGTTAGCTCTGCGTAGCGTAACAAAGGTGTGAAAACCAGAGAGAAAACAAAAATGAAAAGATGCGATATTTTGGACGGACATAACGTTATTACTTGTGATTGATAATGCGGTTTGTACTCACGAAATATTCCGTGCGTTGATGTTGATTGATATCATCGCTTTCGCTGGTGTGACATTATTTCTCCCCTGTGCATGGCGGGGGAATGGGTAATGGCAAGCTCAGCAGAATGAATAGCTGAGATGAGAATGGAAAGAACTTGCTCTCGATCATGTTGAAAGCATCACTCCTTTTGAGCTTTTATTTTCAGCTTTCGTTATTTGATGAGTCAATTAATAACGTGGAAAGCGAAGGAAAACGTGCAGGAATATTGCTGAATTCTACATATTTCACATGTTGCAGATGTCTTCAATTGCTTAACATTAATCCCATATTTTGATCTAGTTGAAAGCTCCTTATGTTAAAATGATCAAAATATGTTCAGCTCTCTCTCTCTAACAATAAAGAATAACAGCAATTATAGCCAGCAGAGTTTCATTCAGAGAGTTGGTTCTTGATGTGCTGAATGTGCGGTTATATTAATCACCGTCCATAAAGATATCATCATCCTATTATTGTGTTATTAACGTTACAGTGTCATCCTATTATTGTATTAGAACAGGGCCGTTACCACATGCGTGCTATTTTGGACTTTTGGGCCATCAACGTTTATTTTGTGACAAGTACAAATGTGTCAAATGCCGGATGACTTCGCCTGGGTCGATTCGCATCGCCCGTCCGGATTTACTAAACAAAGATTTTACCATCAACAAAACCATAACGATGTGATATGTCATCGATACCTTTTAACTCAAGGATGCAAAACAGCAGTCTGTTTGACATTTTCATATTGTGTAAATATAAAACATCACCACCGAAATTTTAGTACTATTATACAGGCGAAAAATTAGGTGGATTTACAAAAGTCTATGATATATGAAGGAAATGTGCCCTGCAAAAGATCACTCGAAGTACGCCTTACGTGCCGTCACTCTTACATGATGTTTCGTCAGTAACAAGTTACAATATACCACACAAAACTAGCACATCGTTCAACCACTTTTCCGTGTGAGTATGCCTGAAGCCCCCCTCCCCTCGGCTTTCCTAACAAATCCGCCATCATCCCGTCATCTGTATCCCGACTGGAAATGGAATTTCCAGAGTGTTAGGTGGGGGACCGGATCGGGCTAGCACTTCCGGAGACAAGACGATATCGTTTTCCACATGCTTAGCCACGTCCAAATTATGACATGGATTTCAATTATGTCGGGCTCGTTGCAAAATCTTCGCTTCAATTTATGTCGGAATTCGGCCCTTTTGTGGAAGCATTTGTCCTTGGGTTTATGATATGACCTCCAGGGCTACGTTTGACGTAATCAGCATCTTTGTCATCATCAGTGGCGTCCATCCCGTACTGCATTACGAGGAGTAATGTCTTCCAGGGAAATTGCCTTAAGCTGTGTATAGATTCAGCAAACGTAATTGTTTCTAATTGTCGATGCGTTGAAATTATGATGGCATTTATTTACATAACAGATTTGCCATCGTACGTTCTGTGACAGAGAGTTACGACCGTGAAGGGGAGAGCGCCAGACGATCGGCGTAGCACGTATTACCTGTGCTTGTAAAACTAATTAGAAATGGAAATCCGGGTCGGCGCATCACTGCTTGATCTTATACACGGCTGGAAGTTGATATGTTCTCAGCCGCGTGATGGATTGCGATGCCTTTGGATCCTAAGTCGGTAAGACTGGCGTCTCAATAGAGTTACCGGGAAAATGATGGGATTGAAAACATCAGGTTTCTAAAATGAACGTGGCCGATATCGAAGAGCACAGTAGTGTGTTTGGTGGTTTTACAATGCAGCGATTTATCGGCCCCAAAAGCGATCGTGATAAAGCTGCATGCTGCACGTACTGGCATTGTTAAAAATAGCAAAAAGGGCGACACGTCATGCACCCAAATAATATTCAAAAATAAAAAAAGACTGACGTATATTAATGATAATATACAAGGATGAAGAGAGTTTTCGGGTTGATGGACTGTATGATTAACATGGTAATTTATTCTGTCTTTTCAGTACACATGCGCAATAGACCATTTAGTCTACGCCATCTAACGTCACAATTAAAAGATGTTCTTCATCAGATGTTTTTGCTTTGGATAAAGTACTAGTATTCTAATCTTAAACCGCGACCGTTCTATCTTATCACATGCTACAACAACGGTAATGAAGACAAAACAGTGGGCCGCGTTAGCCTACGTTTTTCTGTCAAAAGGTGGCGAATCTCTTTCCATCACTGTCTGTTCGTGTGCCAAGCCGGCAAGCGTCTGTAATGTTTGGCGCCGTGGTGTGCACACGAATCAGGGTGGTTAACATACAGAAGCCTGTGTATTTATAATGTATTTAGAAATTCCTTTGTCGTTTCGTGTTTTCACTCAGTCATCATTTGTTTTGAAACTAAACTACCCCCCCCCCGAAAAAAAACTGTGAGGCATGACGATGATATTAAAAATCTGGACATGTATGTAATAAAACAATAATAACCGTATGTTTTCTTTTATTTCCTTGCGTTAAGAATGAATGAAACATGACGCTGTAAAATTAAGATGGATTCTCTGCTATCCACACGCATAAAAAACTCACTGCATCACAGTCCACAAAAGTATTACCTTTCCCAGAAAACTGAAGAGGGTTCGTGATACACTAAACGTCGTTCCTGTTTGAGAACTACTATCATTATCAGGACACAACCATACATTTGACGACGTTGAGAATATGGCATCGATACAGGCGTGCTTATTCGTTCATATAAGCCTTGTATTTATTTCTGTTGCTGTTCCGTTGGTGAACAAATGGGTCATCAGTTTTACTTCGGCGGGAGACGGTCATAAAAAAAGCGGAGATCGATAACTCAGGAGCGCGCTCAGTTTTAAGATCCTAACCGGGTCAGATCAGATAACGGGATCAACAAGGTGTGTTAAGACCCTTGTTTAAGACAAACGGCGCTTTATGGCTTATTCAAGAGTGAAGAAGCCGATTCCACTTTCAAGACACGGCTAAAGAAATGAACGTATAAATCTGGTGGCCGCAGTTCGCAAAATATACGACTCGGGATATATTTGTGCGCAAACGGCATTTCATTGTCCGGCGGTATTGAAGATAGGGAGCCGGGCCAAGTCAAGTATTGCGCTGCTAATGTACTGGGAAGTACAGTGGTAGATTACGTATTGATTGTGACATATTTTCGACTTACAGAAGAAAATCTCTAGGTACTTAACTATAAGCAATCAGCATAGATCACATGTAAGTTGATTGTTCTGTCATATGAAGTCTGATACAGTCTACGATCAGAATGAGTACTTTTTGGGGTGAACCATGGAGTGCAGAAAAGGGGATGAAATGTCGGTAAAATGTTATTTTCTCGTTATTATTAGGTTGCTATCTGGTGATATTATTCATTCCAACCACGTATCATGTTCGTCGTATTTATTTAGTAATGTTTTATTTTATTTTGTGGTGTCGTGTTAATGCAGGGATATGCCATGTTCATAAAGACCCCCCTCAGTCCTTTTGGAACGTCCCGAAGTCAATCGGCCAAGACGGCTTCTTTCTGGATTCAAATGCAATAAGAGTATTATTAAGTACACATCATGTAATGTATATAACAGGCATAAACTGGTACATAATAGCTGTGGTTACGTACGAGACCTTTCCAAGTAATAAACATGAAGAAACGAGAGTCGTAATTTTATTGGAACAAGAAGGTTTGATTTGAGCTGTTGTGCTCGGTCTCGGTGGTACGTTCGTGTCCTTTGTGATAGATAACTCATGATCTGTGTTTGGAATGGGGTTAGGGTCGGTAACACGTTGTTGAGAAGTGCGTGTTACGGGTGTGCCAGGCTCGGCTGTGTTGACTGTTGTTATTTGTACAGTGGAGATCCGGGCGGGTTGATGGGGAGATCTGTAAATTTGCACACTGTTGGAGAAAACATCCTCCGTGTGGAACCGAACCCTACATGCAAATACCGATTATTTGAGTGATCAGGCAGCTATAACCCAACCGAGTAGAGTCTTTGGCATTTTTGAAGACTTTCCAATGTCAACAATTCTTGAAAGAGACGTAAGTCCTCAGAGGAAGAAAACTACCCTGAGGTTCACAAACTTTGTCTGGTGGTACAGAATAAAAGCTGGTTCGGGCCGTGAAAAAAGATCTTATCTATGTGTAAAACAAATAGTGTAATGATGAATGTTGCACGCTGTCTGGTGGCCTACAAAACCTCAATGCCCTTACAAACTGGTACCACAAATAGCAGTATCTTCATGGGTACATATATATATTAAGAATGAAGTAATTTGTCAAACTATCAACTGTAGAAATCTCACCAATTTGGAAGAAAAAGCTAGCGTTTATTAATCTAGGTACACTAGCGGTTTTTAAGCAAACTGCAGTTTCCTGTCGTCTCCTTCGCACCATGTGCTCAATGTATTGTCACGTGATATACAGTAGCCAACCAGCAAGCGGCATTGCGGCCTCACAGCTGGTGTGTGAAGAAGTGGTGTCGATTGAATCAACTCTCGGCGATTCTGGTGTATTTTATCGCTACAAAAGCCACGATTTCGACCTCCAAGTCTCCTTCAAGCTTGAATGCGTCAGTCGGTAGGTCTGCCAGCTTCTCATCGGTTTTCCAGCGCGATCAGGCGAGAGAAAGCTTGCCAGAGTGGCGGGGTAATGCGAGTCTTTGTGTGCGTGTGTGTGGCCAAAAATCGGGATGTGTTTCAGTGTTGCATTTTTGTTTGCCTACAAACGCGCGTCTCAAAACTTACAATTTCTTCTTGACGTTTGCCGTCTACAGGAAATGTTTTGTAACTCACGAAAACGACTACCATTCTCTGTAAATGTCAGTTTAACCGATGTTTCTTGTCTTCTTTTGTGTTTGTTTTTGAGCTATGTGGTACCAGAGGAAGTCACAGCGGTTTCCCCACAGAGCCCTACTGTTGAGAACCCGCTGAGTTTTCTCGTCCTAAATTTTAGGTCACTTCCCCTGATTTCGGAACACTTTTTTCCTTCGATCAATTTCAAAACATTTAGGAAACTGAAAAGGAAAACATCGCCAGTGTTCCCCTCAATGATTTCTTTTTCGGATCAGTGGAGAGAACAGTTTTTATTGAGCAAGACAAAGGTGTGAGTCACGAGTGGTTGGTAGGCATGCCCTCTCAGGTTTTGGCATGTCTTCTTGTCCTCCTTGTCTCGGCTTTCAAGACTTTGCAGTGTTTACAAATGTTGTTGGACACCCGATCCCGGCTGTTTTAACTACAGTCTGTATATTGTCTTCCCCCAGACTTTAGCTTACCTGTGCTCGCGTGTGTAAACTGCCCAGTAAACATATGCATTGAGCCCGCTGTCCATTTACAGGTAATTTCCTAATGCTTCTGGCCATTATGAGTCTGTAAGGCCGCCCTTCGCCCTTTGTTTGGTGAGAGCTGGTGATCGATAGGGGACTGTTCATTGTTAACCTCCTGTGTAGGGTTTCTTCAGCGGAAACACCGTCTTACTCAGGCGTGAACAATCCCTGTACTGTCTACAGGGCTTTTTCATGGTCAAAGTACAATACATAAGTGGCCACCAGGTGATTTGTCCTTTGTTTGGTCAATTGTTTAACAGTGATAATTGGTGTCAACAGTCTGTCTTTGTTTGATATACCTGTCCATAAGTCTTTTCTTCTGCCAACTACAGAATGCCAAATTCAGTTTTAGCTCAGGCTGTGCCAATTACGCCTAAGCCTTGCTAGGGAGCAACCGGATATTGCCCCTTTGAACAAAGCTATGTATGTTGGAGGTAAACAAAAAGCCTACTGTTGAATAAATGGTCGTAGGGTTTTTATCTTCATCAAGTATATCAGTAAATCATTACAGAAGCAGGATAGCCAGAGCTCTTTGTCATTACTACATGATTGTAACGAACGCTGGATTGAAAGTAAAAAAAAAAAAGCTACCAAAAGGGGCTGTTTGTCTTACCATTTCTTGATGTCAACTTTAAAGTGTTCTGATAGCCACATCCTCCGGCGGATTACTTGAACAGAGGCTGCAGTGATAAGGGGCAGCCTGGTTCACTGCTTGTTGTGGATGACAGAGTAGTGTGTCAAGCAGGGTAGTCTTCAGTTTCCGTCTATCTCTGCAGGGTTTGTCTTTACCATAGGGAAAAAGTCTTTACAGAAAGGATATGAATTAAATCAGTCTCTCAATGGATTTACAGGCATTTGTTACATCTAACGTTAGTAGTTGTAAGTTTTTGTTTGCCTTTTTAAATCCTTGATTAACACATAATGTGATGTTAGATGTTACATTGACATCACGTCGCCCATTTAGTATATCATCTGGTTGGTCCCTACTCATTCATAGCTGATATCAGTAGTGCTCAGTTTTTACCAGGAAATCCCCCCTCTCTCTGGGTACCTGGCACATGATTACAGGTTTTAGCCCCGGTTGTTCTGGCTAACACTCACTGTTCTTGCCAATTATTTTGGGGCAGGCTAACATTATACCTTCCCCCTGCATAATGTATAAAACTCTACTTCAATGCCCAAGTAACAAGCCACCATGGTCATCACTTATTCATGCATTTTTGCATTATCTGTGCTTGGGGAACAAGTGGCATTGATTGAGATCCATTACTGCAGGCTGTAGGGTTCCTGGAAGCATTGAACAATTTGTACTGCAGGACACACAGGCGAGAACAGAAATGTTAATAAGAGATTTCATAGAAATAGTTTTCACTTCAGCACAAACACTACAGTGAAATACAATAATGGCACTGTTTTCCTATTGTTAATCCTTTGAAAGCTGTTGGTTCTTGTAGTACAAACTGCATGTTTTTGTTGCAGTTAGCTGCCACAGATACACAATTAACATTACAGGAAATCCTGGTTATCCATGGATAATATTTTGGTGTCCAACTCTCTAAATAATTCAGAAATACTGTTCTCACATAACAAGGGGTGGCTTCAGACACAAGCTTTTTATTGATAAAAACTTGTACTCAAAGTGATACCTTAACCTTTTATGTGTGTTGCTGTTAGAGTTAACAAGAAAAGGAAATATAACTAGGGTTACTGTAGCTCATGAAAGGTCCCAGCATAGAAAGTAGACTCTAAAGGAGTCATTTCTTTTCTGCTGCCTCGGTAATCATTTTCTTTTGTGCTCAAGAACAGCTGCCGTAAAGAGATGTTATGACTCCCAGTGAAACAGACACTCAGAATCAGCTCTCGTAAACAACGTTTGTTATAAATCAACATCAAAAAGATGCTGACGTGTTAGACTTGCTTCCAACCTTGAACTTCAAAAGTTGAGATGTCAAGTCTATGGAGGTAGAGCACTGGAGGGGAAGCCAGACCCCCATCTGTTGTCCTCTGTGGTGAGTTTGTTTGTTCAAGCAGGAGAGAAGTAGACTGTGTAGGGCCGTGCTGATGGCTTGGTGTTGGCTGCCCTTCACCCCCCAGCCCTCCACATGTCTGTGTTGCCTGGTCACAGGGCAAACATTTTTGCACCACTTATCACCCCCCATGGTAAATCATATGGATTAATGTCCAATCTACAGTCCACTTGTACGTAGAACAGGTGTCGCCAGGCTTCCTAGACAAATTATTCAAATGATACAGAAAATGAGACGACTCCAGTGTACATTTGTAGCTACATGTATTAGGGGAAGTGTTCCTGCTTTGATTTTTGGAATTTCCTCAATCAACTGCAAATTTACTTACTGCAAATAAAAAGTGTCCTCTGTTCATGTGATTCAAGTGATAATGAATGAACAGAAGCATTAATTAGCAGCTCATTGTGTATGGACTTCTTTAGCAAAATAATGGTATTAGCAATACAGTTATGAGAGAAAACTTGACTAAGTTGATACACAAAATGTACTAGTATCTGGAAGTAGGTATTATTAGAGAAAAAGAAGCTATATTGCTAGATTCCATGTTGTTCGGTGGTTTGTATGCCAAAATGACACAGTCTCACATTCAAGGCTGATTAGGATTTTAAAAAAAGAGGTTGATCTAGGAGTGAAATTAACTGATCCAAAATAACTAAATTTGACACCCTTTCTTGTAATAATGTATAGTATGGATGACTTTGTGCAAGTGGAAGCCTTTGTTGATTGATAGGTCTACCAGTAACCTTCGTTTATACAAATCTTA